GAAGAAATGTACCTATCCTTAATTAGTAGTGGTGTTGCTGCAGCATGTGACCATTCTGTGTAATAGTTTATTGGTCACTTCACAGTTCACATATTGAGGGATCACTATCAAGATGTGGGATGTATGTATGTATCAAGTATTAGGGGATGAAGTCAGGGTCGAATGGTATTGATATATTGGCTGGAAGGTTTTAATGGGAGGACCCCAGGGAGTGGGTGGGGCCGATGTCTGGATTGAACATTGTAGCTTCATTGTTCCCCTGTGGTTCCTGTAATAAGAAAGTTGGTGATGTTGGACTTGAAGCAGAAAATGCAGTTTTGCGGCATGATAGAGATGTGAGAACTGAGACCGAAGAGGAAGGGGTTGGACACATATATTTCAAAGAACACAGGAAATTGGAAGACAAAGGGCTTTGGTCTTTGTTCTTGAACCTAACTTACAATCTAATAACTTCATGAAACAGGGGACCATGGCTAAAAAGTGGTTGAAGAGGTAGGAAGAATTTAAAAAACTCGGTTGTGTGAAGCAGAGCCATGATGGTGTGAAAGGGCCCTCAAATGCAAAATTTTGTGCATAACTTTGAAGCTTTGTAACCGGAATTAATGATGCTTTGTCTTGCTCATTTTGGCTCTTAAATATTGTCCATTGTGGTAATCAAGGCTCTTTTATAGTTTTGCACTTCAAAAATCACATCCAGCCATCCTTTTGTGTAGTCACAAATAATGTCAACATCAAAAAAGGTCTTTGGGGAAGTATCAGAAAGGCTCCTTTTCATCTCAGCCGGCTGGAGCGGTTTGATTGACAGCAGCTGGCAGGCTGCATGAGTGCTGGTGTTACACTGTAGGGAATGAGAGACAAAGTAAACAAACTTGTGCTGCAGCCTACATGGGCAGACAGCGTGTTGTTAGTGATGTGGAAGAGTAAGGACCACACCAGCATCAAATGGGACCCAGCTTACATTTGCAGGTTGCAGTTTACATTTGGTTTAATGTGCTGCAGGTGAGCAGATAATTACCTGTCTAGCCTGCAAACTGACGTTACAGTGCACTTTTCTCCAAATGAATGTGTTTTTGGTCGTTCAACAAGCTGAGGCACAGGAGTTTATAGTGTTCATATCTGTAAGGAGGAGACTCTAGTAGTAAAGCTAATGTGGGTTGTTGTTCAAATGCTCAATATCCCGTTGAATTAATGCAAACCTAGGGGGCGCCATCATGAAACCAAACAATACACAATAAAAGTTTATTACTTTTTGCTGTAGCAGACCAATAAAAAAAGCAATTTAATTTCAGTTGGACTTTTAAAATAATAACAAGAAGTTTTCTTAATTCCTTAAATCCATCTGTAAGATCCACCCAAGTAGCATTTGGTTAAATTCAATTTGACTTCATGAAAACAAAAGAATGAACTATAACTATATATCATCCAAGCAGAATCATTCACTTGCAAATGGGCATGGAGATGTGATAGCCACTCCAAAAGAATAACTTCCTCCCTCTTGTCTTCCTGCAACAAATTGCTGCTGCCCATGCTGCCCTTCCCATCTGCTTCTCTGTGTGTGTGTTTATTTCTTTCCTCTCGCATTGTTTACACTGTGTGTTAATGAGACATTAGATGTAGCCAAACCTATTCATCTCAGTCCCATTGTTCAAACCTCCACGTCCGAAGATAGAGCTTCAGAGCTGCCAGGAAATCCAGCGACACCTGCTCACCTGCATGGGCACACTCCATGCAAAGGTTTAATTGGAGGGAGAGAGTGAGAGGGGAAAAAAAACGACAAGGGGGACAGATTTAATTGGAGAAATGAAGAGAAAGGAAGAATAAAGACAGGCAAAATGAACGTGGTTGAAGGCCCTCCATTTCTATGAATTGAAAACTCCCCTCCCGCCTCTTCCTTCACTCATATATCCCCCATGCACACATGATGCAGCAGCAGCGTTCATCAAGTCGAGGGGAGGACAAGAACAAAAGATAAACTCCGTTCACTCTCTGGCACACGGAGTTAGAATAGCAGCCTGTCAGATAAGGAGGAGAGCTGGAGGTGGACAAAGGATGGGAAGGCAAGAGGAGCAGAAAAGAGAAACAGTAGCACATAAGGAGATAAGAGGGAGAGCGAAGAGGAGGAAGACTCCAGGTTGATGTGGGAATAGGAGGAAACAGACAAGGCAGAAATGTGATGCAGAGAGGAGGTCAATAAAGACGAGAAGGTGCAGGAGAGGAGGAGATTGGCACGTCACTGCGGCCTTTAGCACAATCTGCAATGTGCCGTGTTTATCTCAAACCGTACTACTCAGCCTCTCGCTGTTAAACGCTCTTTGTTCCCTCTTTTTTCCCTCTCTGTCTCTCTCTCTCAATCCCCGTGTCACACAATGTGAATCTGCCTATCGCTGTCTCAGAGAGAAGGCATCCCGCATCTTTCAGGAGGTTATCAAGACGGGTACATGCTGTTAATTACCCAGCTGTCATTGATCCGCCATATGTGCGCACGTACACAAAGACACACACAAGGATTTAAATGACAAGAGAATGTGAGGAGTTGATGTTGTGGATTTTCTTTGTGTTTTCAGAGTTGTGTGATGGACTGGGTTCAATTTAGGGGTAGATCTTTAGCGAACAGTTAAGCCTTTGGCCCCTCGTGTCCTCAAGAGAAGTTAAAAGTTCAGGCTGTTTATAAAAGCCTGTGTTTGTTTCGAAAAGAAGAAAAAGAAAACAACAAAGGGAGTCAAACAAAGGGAATCACAGAAAGAGACAGTCATGTTGTAGACATCTTTATCTCATATCCACAGCGGTGACGTTGGATTGCACAGCACATTATTTGTTTCAGCGCCCCTTTCCTCCCTTACACAGAGCACTGTTGGGTGACGATGTGCCCCAGAGTCATGATGTAACTCCAGGAAACTGATTTTCCGAATAGAAGGTCATCTATTTTCTATTGCGCAGTAAAATGAGGTTACAACGTGTCAGTGCTTCTGCTACCATGTCGGAAGATCAGATATTGACTCAAAAAGGGTGATGTAAGGTGGAGAAATTGAGGTGAGTTTCCTTGTGATGTGGTTAAAGTATCAACAAAGGCACTATAATCAAGCCTTGTTTAAAGCTGTGCAGGGACCGGTGATATACTCGCATGGCGTGATGTAATGTGCAGTAAAACTTGGGTGGGCTTGCTGATCAAGGGCTTGAATGCTTTTGAGACTGTGATACACTGTGACTAAACATGGAAAAGTGTCTCACTGCTCTTCCCGCTTCATTCTCTGGGGATTTTGGATTACTGATGTGGAGATTTTGCCCACCCCATGCAATACATATTTACAATCTACTGTATGTGCAACAATGTCCCTTTGTTAATGTGTAGTTTTCATGTTTTTTTAAAATGTTCTCTTATGATTTACCTGCACTTTCTCCTTACTAGCTCTTCTTTTGGTTGCTTAGAAGGAAGAGATGATTAACTCTGCTCCCTGTTTTGTGGCACTCGTCGATATGCAGTATCAACTGTCATTCTTTATTGAGGACCAAATTATAAGGCATGGCATTGGTTTTCATGCATTAAAGGATACGTCTGCCAATATTTTTCGTAGAATCAACTGTGTAGCAAAAGCCTAATATAGCTCATCCCTCTGTGTCACAGAGCTGCATTGTTTTCCAATTGTTTGCCTTTTCTCCAAATTAAGCAATGAATTTGTCAACAGTTTTTACAGATTTACATCCATACACTATAAGGGCAGGGAAGTCAGAAGTCCTGTTTGTCAAGGGGTTTAAGACTGGATGCATATAATCTCAATATCTCTGGTTCAATTTCAGCAGGGAACCTGCTGTTGCATGTCATCACCCTGTATGCCTGTGTCTCTCTAGTGTCACACTATAAATCCTAAAAAAAGAAAATCATAAATATGGCAATATGGGTTAATGCACATGGTGTCTTCATTGGATTTTGAAACAGTAACAAAAATATGTAATAACATCAGCCTTGTCCTTTGAATCTTTATTTAGACTGGCAGCAGCACACTTCTGGTTCAAGTAGCAGAAAAAAAGGAATCCTTTCAAAGATGGCCTTCAGCAGTTCTGGCATACCTGATTAAATAAACTAGACAAGTTTATTTAATCTCTGCCACTAAGGTTTTGTTTAGAGGTTGGGTCATTGCCACTTCGCTTCATCATCTACTACTGGGTTTGTCCAGAGAGAGAAAACACCCAAGGCAACACAGCAGGCTAAACTAAAGAAAAAGACCCAATGCTGTTTGGTTGCTGTGTTATAGTCCATACAGGTATTATTGCCTGGTACTGATACTGAGTCAGCCACTGCTTGTCTTTATCAACCATTAGATGATCAAAAGCCTGCAGGATGCAGTTTATTGCCATGTATGAAACCTCTTAGATAATTTAGTTAATACAATACTTTTTCCCTGCATGTTCCTAATTGGAAGATGATAAATCATTTAAAATACTATGGCCATAAAAGTTGCATAAAAAGTAGCAATAACAAATTATTAATACAGATGATACATTTAGTAAAAGTACACTATTTCTAATTGTGTTGGGCATAATGCATCCAAAAAAATTGAGCAAATGTTTCTTCCTAATTACCTCAACATTAACTTAAATATATTATATTATATATATTTAATATATATATTTAAGTTAAAATGTGAAGAGAGAAATGTATGTGTTTTGTGAAATTTTTTCATAGTCTTATAAAGAGAGGGAAATATACTTTCTTTGCCCACCTGCACCAGGCCGTTCTGTAGAGGTGTGACATTGAGATGACACATTCACATGTAAAGTAACCTACTGACTTAGTTTCAACAGCAGACATTCACTTACTCCATCTATAAAAAGCTGAAACACAATGAGTGTGAATGAAAATGACCCTGTTTTTCAAAAGTGGGCGGACAAATCTCATTATTTGAGAATAACAGTAGGCTGTAGATATAGAAAACATTCTGAAAACGTTTTTGTTTTACACTCAGTTAATTGTAAAAGTTGTTATTTTTCTGTCTTTGTTGCAGCCATGGACGCACCCCTGAATCTGACAGCCAGTGAAGTGAATCACCGCAGCGCTCTCATCTCCTGGCAACCGCCAATCGCAGAAATTGACAACTACATGCTCACCTACAAGTCGACTGACGGCACCCGAAAAGTATGTAGTGCACGCAGCTGAACTCTCATGTCTCATGTTGATACCATATATATATATATACTGATAATCATAATGTATGTTAACATTTTATCTGCAGCCAAAATGTGTTTTCATATCTAGTGGTTCTGAAAATCCTGTTGAGCATCATGCTACATTTGCAAACGTGTCAGGGAGATAAACTGTTTTTTTGTTAATCCACACACCTGAAAATAGAAACTTAGTTCTGCAGATATTGTAGAACATATTGAAACCCCTCCTTGGATTTAGAAATTTGGAAACTTATTATACCATAGCTGAACAATGCTCAGGAAAAGAAGATTAATGCAGAGTCACAACTTTATGACAAGCACTTCAAAATTCAAATGTTATCTTTCAATCATGTCATCCCTTGATGTGGAATGTGCAAGCGTTTGGGGACACACACACGCGCACACTCACAGATTGATACACACACAAGGGAAGTACGCAATGAAATTGCTTGTCTAATAGAGATATTACTTTAATGTGTCTCAGTAGAGACATTGTTTATTTTTATTAAACCTTTGATGTGGCCGAGTAATGGAAATAAAGCACATTAGCAAGAGCTGTGTGGAACGCACCATGACTGTTGCCGATTTGATTGGAACCATTTCCCATGATGCTCTGCAAAAGACTCCCTTTTATTGGCAATTACGTGTCTTATACACAAACACACACATGCAACCAGATGCACACAGACTTTCCCCTTCAAATGCCCACTGTAGTGGCATAATCTCATAAAAAGTCAAAACACACGCACATACTGATGAAATAATGATCCAGCAGAAGTGTCTCTCTCTCACACACACACACACACACACACACACACACACACACACACACTGACCTTGAATGTGCGGTACTGCTGTGTGGTTGACCATCGGGTGTCACTCATGCACAAAGAATGCAACACGAACAATTCAGATGATTACATTTTTTAGATTTCACTTGTTTCCAATGCAAACAGACGTCTATCAACATTATTCTTGGAATGATTACTTCCTTTATACTGTTGATCCCACCATCTGCCTTTTCATCTTTATTCCAAAACAATGGTTTGTTTCTAAAGAAACATTTTTCAATAATATTAAATAATTTAAAACATTTGGTATGCTATTTCTAAGACTCTGCATACATTTGCATGTTCAGTCAAACTGATGAACATTTTTTTTTCTCCTACAGCACACATATTTGCCTTATACATAAACATACAGCATACAAATCAGTACCCAAAAGGGAGAAATTCATATTTAATACTGGTTTTATTATGGCGGTCTGTATTTTGGCATTAACCAGTAATAGTAATACCCTTAGAGAACCTTTTTCCATACAACCAATCAGACTGTACTCTTTCATGGTGACGGTCACACATGACAACCAGACAGCAGCCTTTTACACAACACAAGAGCCACAGAGTTTAAACAACCACCAACATTAGCTTTCCTACCAAAATCTCCTCCTCCCCTTACAAACAAGCTTAAGTGTCTAACTTACAAGCAAAGACATGTCTCGAGTTGCACTTTGGATTGCTGAATGACCGACCAAACAAACATCTGCTGGAGAAAAGTGCTCTGCTAATGTCAGTTTGCAGACTAGTTCGCTAGATGGCTGCTCAGCTCCAACACATTAAACAGCTTCAAAAGTAACTTACTCTTCACTACCACTGCAAACTAAACACTGTTGACCCATAGATAATAAGCTACAGTTCCCAGGCCAAGTTTGTTGCTCGCACCTTCACAGATTCAGAGGAAAAGGAACATTTTCTATTTCTATTTTTATAATAGAAAAACTAATTTCAAAATATCTCTGACATTGTTTTTGACTGTAAAACCAAATATTTCAGGTCACAGCTTATAAATAGGTTCTTCATTGTTAATTACATACAGTCATTTTTAACAGCAATTATTTTTTAACAAAAAGTGAAAAGCCGGAAGATCTCGCAGTTGGAAGAGTTTTTAAAGTCTTCTCATCACCTTTGATCGTGTTCTTTTAGATTTTATTCAAATCTTCGTTCGCCACAGTGAGCTGCCTCAACAAGTGCCTGCCACATTTTGAATTCATATCATTCAACAACAAATGAGTCATACCACTCATGCTCAGAGCAAAAACGATTGCTGCAGCCGGAGATTGAAGAGTCGTCCTTGTGAGATTTGCCTCTGGTTGTCTCCACTTGAGGTCTGGCTTGACTGAAAACATGCGGCAGCGTTACCCCGCCTGTAATCTCACCGCATATTGGTGAGACTTACAGCTGTTCAGCCAGCTTCCCCTCTTACCGAGATAATGGACTTTTAGAATTTACACAAAGTACCTGTGAGATTAATTTCTTATCTGATCAACATGTACTTAACAGTGTGTAAATGTACGTATCTCTGACGGTTATATTCGTGCCTGTAGTGATGAACATCTCCCCATTCACTCACACACAAGGGTAAATAAATATGCATCCACCAAACATCCAACCACTGAACCACACAATCAATAGTGAGTGCATGAAGGTATATATTATCCTTGATAAGAAAGGGCTGTTGCACTGCAATAAAAATCTTATCATGACCCTGAAAACCTGCTCGGAAAATGTCAGATCCTCCGAGACACAGATACCATTTACCAGCTGCTTCCCTGCATAATTCACGTGGACACATTGCCTGGAAATGTGTGATTTTTTTCCCATACTGGCTGAATATTCATTATAACTTGTTCATATTTAATGTGTATCCAGGGCAAACTGTAGCACACAGGCACACAAACTCACACATATGAATACATGCACAGACAAGTTCATGTTTCTGTCAAATTAACTGAGCGTGGATTTGTTTCTCATCTAAGAAACTGATCAGAGAAAAAGTCTGTCAGAAACGGTCAAACGTCTTGGCTCCTTAAGACTGGCTCAATAAAAGAAGATTTGTCAAAAACAAAGGGATGTAATTGGATTGTTCTTCACCAAAAATAGAAATGTTGTTTCCTGATTGCTTAGCAGCTTCTCAGCTTGGCTGTTCGATAAGAGTCTTTTATCCTGTTCTCTCCGTCTAGTTGTCCCCCTTCTCCTCCGATCCTCCACCCTCCCTTCTTTCTCTTTCCTTGGTTTTCTCAGTTCCTCTTTTCGTGTTTTTTTTTAGTGTCACTTTTCACATATGAAAACACAGACATCCAGACACTGCAGTCAGTGGAAGAGTAACTTTTAGTGCTTAGTTAGTTAGTTTTTATTTCTATGTCATGTCAAACATCTAGCTCATCCCACATGGGATTACAAGACGCCAAACAAAACAAAAGAACAAAAAAAAGAACAACATTATAAGTTCTGCTTTATGCTTTATCCAAATGCACTGTACACTCAAAAGAACTGCTGCAAGTTTATCCTGTTGTTGTTTCTCCTCCAAGTAACTGGCTAATTTAAATAATTCATATGTGAGCAACCAACTTGAACTTCACTAATACAGTATTTAAGTATTTAAATTGACTTAATATTATTTTCTCAATTTTTCTAAATAAGCCTCTTCTACTTGTGGTGCCAGTTTGAGAATATTGTGCTACTGGAACACAAAGCAAGCTGTCATGTGTTTCCTGAACAAAAATAGCTTGAAGGTTTCTTTGTTGCCATACTGTAGGTCTTTGTAATACTCACAAGCTCAGTTCAATGTTTTATCAGTGACTTATGGGGATTCTAATTTAATTTATTTCAACCCTGAGGTTTATACTGAATAAACATGAAATTATTACTTTTATAGAAGGCAATTTATTTATCTAATATCTTTTTAACTTGTATGTGAATGAATTCTGTGTGTGTGTCTGTGTGTCTGTGTGTACTAGGAGCTGATCCTAGATGCAGAGGACACATGGATTCGACTGGAGGGACTGGCTGAGACCACAGAGTACACTGTCAAGCTCCAGGCTGCAAGAGGACTTGACACCAGCGCTGTAGTCTCCACTACCTTCACTACAGGTACAGTACACACACATTCATGCACACTCTCACACACACATAATGTATTTGTGTTCTTTGATTTAAGCTTGTAAAGAAATTCTAATGGGGTTGAGTTTTCTTGACCCCGCACATTTTTTCCCCCCTTGTGCACTGCATTTCACATTACAGTCACCATAACTAAAGATGCACAATAATGAGTCCCCAAAGTCAGGCATAGTTTTCTTTTTCCTTCCCTGTAGCATAGCAAGGGAGACTTCCCATTAGGTTTCACCTGCAGGGTGGCTGTCTACAATCCTGACGCTTGAACAGTGTGCACTTAAATGTGCTCAGGATGACACATATGTCACTCAAACCAGGGTGTGTAAGGATAGCTTTGCAAATTGTCAGTTTCACTTTAACCTAAAACAGTTTTAATAGATCTTTTCTGGCATGACAAGTTGTAAATGCACTATTTGAATATTATGACCATTGAAAATGGATATAACAAACATCTTATATTTATATTTACAACAAACATGGTCCCCTCTACCTTTAGCTCTGTTTCTGGCCCCACTTACTCCTGAAATATCTGCTCTTTAACAGTTAATTTCAAACTCCATCCATGCAGTCTACATAAATCATACATTTTAAGTCAAAATATGAACAAAAATAAGGAAGTCATAACTTAACTTCATGCATCCTCTGCTTCTCTCCAGGGAGTCGTCTATTTGCAACACCTCAGAATTGTGCCCAACACCTGCTAAATGGAGAGACTCTGAGCGGCGTCTACACCATTTACATCAACAGAGACCCCAGCCAGGGTGTGCAGGTGTACTGTGACATGACCACTGATGAAGGAGGCTGGATTGTAAGTCCCTGTGAAGATGACGCCTTCTTTTTAACACCCTGTTGTATGTGCAGATTTTATTGCATCAAATACAACACTGAAGGTCATTTTGATCATAGCAATAGCAGTATTTAGTTCGTCATTCTAGTTTGAACACGTGAGTTGTATTTTCCTCATCTTGTCACGTGATCATATTTTGGTGTTCAGGTATTCCAGCGTCGTCAGAACGGCCTGACAGACTTTTCCAGGAAGTGGAGTGACTATCGAGTGGGCTTTGGAAACCTGGAGGATGAATTCTGGCTTGGTAAGACTCTTAATCTAGAGAAATTCTGTGTAGTTTCAGATACATGTCCTTCACTCTTTTGTTGTTAAGTGCCATACAGAGACATAACAACAGGCATAACAGCTTCTGTAGTTGAAACATACAGGGGAAGATAAAAATCTGTACTATTTCTCAGTCAAATCACGGTAGGAACTGGGGAGTAGAGGCTCTACATTTATTTTTTTGTATATTTTTATTGATACTGACTGACTAGTACTTGTATTAGAACTTTTACAGGTGAGGTGACAGATTTTCTGGTGGCTTATTTCATGTCACCTTGCCCAGTGTATTTCAGCTGCATTTCATTTGCTGCAGACTGATATTAACCACAACCTGCCAACAATTGTTCAATCTCAGTTCCAGTCTTCTGAAGGGTATATTACCCTCTTCATCATCACACCGTCTCCATGACTAAAGTGGATTTAATAGGTACAATCAATGGAGGGTCATACCTTTCACTCGGTTTCAATTGATACATATATTTCATGGAGAGGAAAGATGTTCCCAATATCTTGTGCAGGCAGTATAGCCTTTCTTGTAAGAGTTTTCCCTCATCTCATCTTTCAGCACTTGACTTCACAAAGTCAATCCGATTCATTACTGGATTCTCTGAAAGATCATCTCTCCCTGAAATGACTGAGTAATTGTTTTTAGCGTCGCACTGATTCAAAGACAAAACAACAGAACATCCTCACTGTTTTGATGGACTGCTGCATATTTTTTCTCCCCCCACCCCAAAAATCTCATTATGAGACAATAATTATATTCATTAGAAGATGTGCAAATGAGTCATGTTTCTTCATGGGCCAGTTTTTGTGTTATTGTTTTGGTGCAGATGATTAAAGGGAAATATTGCATGAATATTTCATTAAGTGAATCAGGACCTTGAGAAGAATGTTTTTTGAACTTTTTGATTAGAGAAATTAAATAACACTGGGGGGAAATTTTATGGCATTGCATTATCACCACATTATAGCAGAGGGAGGGCTGTTACTTTGCAGCTGACACATTATTGGATCATAATACAAGATAGCTGTGGCACGCTCTATTCCATTAGTGATTAAACACACCGTAATAGGTGAAGGCATAAAGAGATTTTAGATTGAACCCCCTCATGAACTGGAGCTGACAATGTAATGGAATGTGGTATAAAAGCCTGCAATTCTTGTTGAGACTGTCAGATTTGTTGCTTCACTGGTTATTTTTAAAGCAGTAGTTTGCGGTGTTGTCGAGTTGAATTGAATAATAATGTCAGCTGCTCCTGTTACTTTGGTGCACTACCAGAGTGTTCAAAGGTAGCTCTTACGATTGTATCACAACAAAAAAAGTTGGATTGCTGTGTGATGGTATAAATTAATAATTTATCATTTTTATATTTCAACAACACTGGAGAATTTCTCACGGCAGCACAGGAGGCCTGACAGAAATATTGGAAAGATATCTCTGAAGGATGACACTACACACACCATTTATATAATCTTTGCTCACCACACAGTAGATGGAATAGATAGTGAGTTATAAAGTGACAGGAGTGTTTTAGCCGAGACCTGAAGGCATCGTGTAGCAGCATCCTGGCACAATTTGTAATGGCTCTCTTCATACAATATGATCTAAAGATGCCGGAGCATATCTGGTTCAGTGAGTGCAAAATTTCATTTGACCTGTTTCCACTTCAGCTGAATCAGCAATAATCTTCCCTCTCACCACTTCTGGAGTAGTCCAGGGCTGCTTCATCTCCAGGGTCTTGCTTTACTTTTTCAGTGCTTCCTAGGATGCACTTCTCTACCCGTCTTTCTTCTATCCTGCACTGTACTCTGTCCTCTCAGTGCATAAAAGCAGCTTAATGTAACCTCAGGGTGTGAGGCATCAAGAGCTGCTCTTTGCTCCTGTGAAAGGTTCTCCCCGTGATGCCAGATTACAGATAACATGCCAGCGGGGGACATGGTAGCCTCAGAGCATGGCACAAAATGTCAAGCTTGCTGTATGAAACTGTCTTGTCTGTTGATCTAGGGGTTAATACGGTTTTTAACAGAGGACTAGAGGCTTTTTTTTTTACACATAGAAGGAAAAGCACAGGTGTTACTAATAACATTAATGATGGCTCTGTCCTAGTAAGTTTCGACAGTGGGACCGTGAGCCAGGACCCTAAACTGAAGCAGTGTACATTTTATCATTTACACATGTGCTTTTGCTACTCTGACATTTCAAAATGTCTTCTATGAAAAAGGCCTATTGGGGCATTATCTATTTAAATGCCCAATCTCAGCAGAACATGGCAGAAGGTAATTTACAGCAATCATGTGTCCTCCTGAAATAGGTGATAGTTATTTATGTAAGTACTACCTGCAGGTGGTACAGTATTCAAAGGATGTGAAGGAAGATCATGAAGAAAACATTGTGCGACACCGATATCTTCCCCCACTTATAACACTGCAACTTGCAGTTAGTTGTTATTTACTTAATTCACTACTTAACTCTCAAACTACTCTAATCTTCTCATCTTGCTTTTCTCTTCAGTATTCTTTTCCACACACTGTTGACTTTCTACAGTGGTATGTTGTATAAAGTCGCCCAAAAAACACAATTTGTGTTTAGGATTTAGCCTTCAAAACGATCAAAACCAGTGTGGTACCAAATCACATCAGCACCAGCTGGTGTGTGCACTGCTGTTCTCTCTCTTGCTTTACCTAGTCCACGCTTATAAAATATACTGTGTTGGCGTCACAAGAGAACGTCAAAGAATGTGTGACTGTCACTTTCCGTACTAGACCGTAGCCTAGATGACTAGTTAATTGACTACAGATAGTGCCGGGAGTGAGAGATGCTTTACTGAAGCAACAGCACAAAACACAATGTTCAAGAGAAAGGTTAGAAGTATTTTTGGCTCATTATGAAACTGTGGTGGAACTAATTGGACCTTGGCAGGCCGCCATAGTCTAGGTTTTTTTTGGGAAATGCTGCGATTCGTCCAAGTGAATTTGAATAAATAATCTCAAAGCACTGCATGACACCACACAGGAAAACATAACGTAAAGACTATACTAAACGATAAGACATATAAATCTTGCCATCTTATTGACGATGGCATTGTCAAAAGCTTCTGGCAAGCTAGTAGTAAAATACACAACATTACTAGCTTAGTTTACTGACAGGTCAATAGGGCATGCCATAGGTCAAGATAGTGGAGCGCCCCATGCTGGATCACAAGGCAAACTACTACACCCGGTCTGTTGTGCTAATAGACTATCATTTTTAAATTCCAAACAGGTCATTACACTTTGAAAATGAACCACGTTCAAACACATTTTTTGAATTTTAAATAAAAAGTGAAGGCCCTACTAAGCAGTGTCCTTAAAATGTATCATCCTTATAGAAAATAAATGGCATCATCATACAGATGGTCACTGCGGTTCCAAACCATTTGACCTTCTCTCTTCTTTCTACAGATTAGATTGCTGTCGTAGCCCTGGAGAGCCATTATAGTGAACATTTAGCTAATCACCACCTCTACACACAGAACAGCAATATATTGAACAGTATGGAACCATAAACATGGATATTAAATCCACTCAAACTGAAAAGAAGAGGCACTTAACCGGCCAGCAGTAAAGAATATGGAAATTAAGCTTTCATTATTATGTTACAGTTTGAAAACGGCCATTTTTATTACTGCTCTAGGGCGATCTATTCTCCCTACTCACTGACCTCAGCCAGTTCTCAGCCTGAACACAATGTCAGTTTGATGATGTAATAACAGAGAGAAACCAGGGTGCCTGTGTGCGATATGTGATCATTATCCCATTCTCTTTCCTTTTTTAATCCCCCCCTTGTTTCTGAATAAGTGTGAGAGAAAGACTGGTAATAAAATCTGACGAGATTGTAATATTGGTAGTATAATAGGACAAGAGTGCAATAGTGTGTCAAAATGCATTTTTAATCGCTGCAGTTTGGAATAGAGCACTCTGATCCCATAAAACTGTTGGAGGAAAAAACAGTAAAAAATTATGGTTGCAAGATTAATTGCTGATAATACAGTGATATTATACAATGGAAATTAGGGATGACTGAGTGTTAAACACAATTTTATTACAACAATTGCTTTTCCCCTGTCACCCTAAGTGCCTTTGGGTTGTAACATAGATTTTATCTGCTTTCCAATGACATATTACAGCAGGCTTAGTTTCCCTGCTTTCCCGAACTTCGACTGCCTGCTCCTTATCAGCGACTACTGCAGATTTTTTATGTTTTCTTCGAATTTTCACTGGGTTTAAGAAAAAAAAACCCACGTAATGCTTCTGTTGGAAGCAGGGAAGTGGACTTTTCCAAATGGACGCTTGTTGTAATCTGATAGGGAAGGCAGCTCCAATCTGTCAGGTCGGTGTGGAGCATTATCACCTGTCTGGGTTCAAACGAGCCTCGTATCTGCTACCTTGGAGATAGAGAGCAAAGCTGCCTATCTCAGAAAGTCGCAACATGTGGCATTTGCAGGAGGGCTGGTGGTGGCCGTGTGCACTGCTCTCGACAGTGTCAATCATCCACATCCATATGACAAGCTGACAAAGACGTCTGACAGAGTGCTTATCAGGATTCAAACCTTTAACCTACAAAGCTGTGGGTGGGAACAAACTGTATTTCGCGTAAGTAAAAAATAAAATAAGAATCTGGGTGGTAGAATGTCAGGAAATCAAAAAATCCACAGATTCAATTATTGGTTTAATGGTTTTATGTCTTCTCTGATCATTATTCTCATATATTTACCTAATATTGTTATTCTGTCATTCCATATTGGTACTTCAGCATACTCTATATAACAGCTATTGTATCCGCTGTATGTCAATCCTGGAAGAGGAATCCCTCCCCTGATGCTCTTCCTGAGGTTTCTTCCTTTTTTGAATCAAGGGTCTAAAGGATAAATGGTTTCATATGCTGTATAGATTGTAAAGAAGAAAAAGTGTGATTTTTAATTTTGGGTTATAGATTTTTTTTTTACATGACTCTGACTTTAACTTCAGACATTTGGTGGGACCAATCGAGACATGTGTGCAACTGAGATATGTAGTTAAATGTGCTTGTATGAATTTAAATCTGTACCTGTGTTACTTTGTCTTACTTTCCATGTCTTAGCGTTGCTTTGAAGTCCATTGTTACTGTCTTGCATCCAGACTCCATACAAGTCCAATCACAATATGAGCGTAATGACGTCCATTATCAGTAGCAGTGTAATTACTTCCATATCAGGATGAGCGTGATGACTTCTAAATCTTGTTTTGAAGCTCAAACACCAGTATGATTAAAAAGCAGATCTTTCTTTGGTTATTAAATGGGTAAGCGCTGGTGTAATTAGAAGATAAAAGTTGTTTTCAAACAGCAGGTGTAACTGTAAAGATTTGGTTCGCGTCTCTGGAGTCTACAAACATAGAATGAATATCGACAATAGGATTTAATATAATGTGTGTTGTTTCTTTACAGGTCTGGACAACATCCAGAAGATTGCTGCTCAGGGCCGTTATGAGCTGAGAATTGACATGAAGGACGGACAGGAGTCGGTGTACGCCAATTATGATAAATTCTCCATTGGGGATGCGAGAAACCTCTACAAGCTCAGGATAGGAGAGTACAATGGCACCGCTGGTACGTGGTTGAATACATAAGGAATCTTTTTTTTTAGTTAACGTGTGTCACTGGTGGTCCAGACCCCCACTAGGGGTTGCCAAAGCTTTACAAGGCCTTCTTCATTTTAATGGGTATAAGAACTTTTTTTCATTCATTCCTGTGAAGAAAACTAAACAATGAAATTGTTATTTTTAAAAGTTTGGATTATTATTTAAGATATAAGCTTATAAAAACTCTCGCAGGATAAGGACATGGTGAAAACCTGAACACAAATATTTCCTCAGAGCCTTCCCTGTCTGCTAAACAGCCTCATCCTGCATTAGGTAAAATAACCAAAGAGCTAATAAAACAACCGAGGAAAAGTTTTTTTTAAAACAGACACACAGTCAGGATTGTATGAAAGGTACCTAAAACATCTGAACTCATTTCTGATGCAGTATTCACAGGGAACAGTCTGCTCTTTTGTGTTCACTATTTGGGTTCATTGTACAGTTTATATGTGTATATAGTATATGTGTTATACTAGTATTGTTGAGCATTGAATATAATATTTAATATCCATCAAATATTTCCCTCAGGGGGTGTCAATATCTGGCATTTTTCTTTGCTCTATGGATGACAGCCTTGTGATCAACCCTCTCACTGTATAGAAATGGCCAGTGAGGACCTCAACATTGAAAGCTTTTTGCTACATGGATATTTTTTTCATATCAACACTATACACTATATACTGTAATATAAGTGAAAAAGCTCTCCCATCCCTCCTCCGCCATCTGACATTTTTTCTCCTGCCACTTTTCTTCTCCCTGATGTCTGAAACCCGCTTCAGCACTTCTCCACATTTCCACTCATGTCCTCACTCTCCATGTATCTCTCAGTCTGTCAACATGACCATATGCCAGAATTACCCATCATCTCCTGGTGTTTATGATTATAATTCTGTCTGCCTAAATAAATTCAGAGAGCCTGCAGCAGGAAAGTCTTTCCTCTCCCTTCCCTCTCATGCCTCTCCCTCCTGCCTGCCTGGTCGTTTATGTCCCTTCATCACGCTGTTATTCACCGCAGCCATATGCCAATGTTGCCTGACATACGTTGATGTTTAAGGTTCTCCGTCTCTCTCTCTCTCTCCCCCTCTCCTCTTACACCAGGTGACTCTCTGAGCTACCACCAGGGCCGGCCCTTTTCTACAAAAGACAGAGACAATGACATCGCTGTCACTAACTGTGCCTTGTCTTACAAAGGAGCCTGGTGGTACAAGAACTGCCACCGGGCCAACCTCAACGGCAAATACGGCGAGTCCAGACACAGTCAGGTGAGTCGTCCAATAAATATCGGATCAAAGAGTGAATGTGACAAATCAAATCTAGTCTAATAGTCTACTGATCATTAAGCCAAACATATTTTGTGGTGTAAGTTAGAAAGTAATCATGGGCTGGTCTACCTAAATTACAAAAGAGCACTTCTACTTATTGTGGTGTTATATGTGGGATGGATACAAGACAAGGATGAATTACCTGTAGAACAACTGGCTCAGGACCTCATAACTCAATTTTTGTTTGGTTTTGGTAAAGTTCAATATCAACTTACACGATAAGGGCCTTATGGGTGATAATATGGGTGAGCTTTATTACCAAAGAAGGTGTCTGGGTCAAAGTCTGTCTTTAAGGCCTTCATTATTTTGGTTTTGTGCTTACATAATGCATATTCCCAAATTAATTTGTGTCTAATCAAATTACCACACAGGAAATCTGAGACCAGGAAGCATAGAAAACCTGTAAACGATGAACAGAGAGTGGGAGGAATGGGGGAGTTAAATTTTGGTTTCATTTGACCAGGTTGTGAGATAATTGGTCTCTGAGATTTCAGCCACCATCCTGATATAGTGGGGCTGGTAGTGTTCACATAATTAAAACATTTAAAATTTTACAATTCAACAGCAATGTGTATTTCCATAAACAATGTCCCCGCGTCACCTTACACTGAACCTCTCCACTGAGCTACTTCTTTGGTAGAATGTAGTTCCAGTGGAAACTGCTGATATCAATTTCTGTGGATTATTATACTGGGGCGTTTCTGGAACATACACACTGCTGTTAATTTTTTTAAATGTAGTTTTTCAATCCTTTAAGCACCACACATGTCCCATTCATGTATATGGTATTGGCATGGCAGCAGAAAACTCAGTGGTTGTCCTAAAAGCTCAGCCATTTTTGTTGGTATTTGGGTGAAGCGGCCCTTTAGCTCAATATTGTGGCGTTGGCATTTTAAACACATAAACTGTCCTGATTATGGCAGTGTGATTAAAGGTTAAAATCTCTCGCTTTGAAAGGCTTATAATTTATAAATGAAATTACATGAAACTTGCTACAGACATCCATCTCCATACTTATTACACTGATTGGCCTGATGGAGGAGCTATAATGAAAGGTCAAAAACAAAAGGACCGTAACTGCTGCTCCACTTGTCGAATTTTAATGAAACTTGGAGAGATGCATCTTAATATTGATTGGTTCCAAGTGCTTGTTTCATCTGTTGGAAATAAGACTCTTTCAGGAGGAGTTTATCTAAAGATCATTGTCAATTTACAGAAATATGTGAAAGGAAAAGGCCAGAGTTTATTACAGAGTATTTTGCCTATTACATCTGAGGTGTGAGTGACTGTTAGGGGCTTGTCTTTTGACAAGAGTGTGATGTGCTCTCTCTCTCTCTCTCACAGCTTGATGCTGAAATGGCTCGAGAAAGAGAGTGGGGTGTTGTGTGAAGCAGTGATTAGGCTGAACTACAAAGGCTTTCGAGCATCATGGCTTCTCTCTGTGTGCTCTGTACCTTTCTCTTTGTTGCTTGATGACATGAAACAAGACCAGGTGGGAGCAGAGATGGACAGGCATAAAGACCTGCAGAGAGAAATTACTTTTCAGAGTAAAGCTGAAAATGGGTGGGTTTTGGCTGTGACGGGGATTAGAATAGAGTGAGACTGCAATTGCACTAAATTCATAATTGTGCTATCTCTCAAGTAAGGAAGTTGGCCCTGCTGCTTAAAAGGCACTTAATATAAAATTTCCTTTTTCAGACTCTTCTATTATTTGATATTTTCTGTCATTTTCTCAAATGCCCTTGTTTGGCCTAAAAAGCTCTGTTGATTCTAGCAGCTTCTGAAGTCACACTTTCGCTCTTGCAGGGTATTAACTGGTACCACTGGAAAGGCCACGAGTTCTCTATTCCTTTCGTGGAGATGAAGATGAGGCCGTTCAACTTCCGTAGCATCAGCAGCAAGAGGAGGCGGTCTGCCCCTGTATAAACAAACCGCCTCCGCGCAGCCCAGAGTGGCGGATAAATGGAGTTCGGACGATGTTTGGTGATGGACTCTCTCACTGATGTGCTTTTTTTAATGCCTTTTAGTGAGGCTGCAAAGGGAAAAAAAAGGGGGGTTATGACATAAAGCTACTAATATTTTATTAATATTCAGTTGTAAAATAATAAAACACATTATTATTAATATACTATTAACAGTCAGAAACTGATATACCCATGGAAGAGATCACGTAATAGCAGAGCTGGTGAAACATCGTCCAAACTCTGTTTACCTCTGCTCCTGCTCAGCTTTAGCTGTTTTTTCCCTGCTGTACTTCTACCCAGATGATAGAGGACACTGTATGTAATTTATTAAATACTTTGAATGACAATGGTTCTATTTGCTGTAAAAAAAAAAGAACAAAAAAAAAAAACGGAAAGGCAAACCAAGAAGCTTCTTTTTTCTTTAAGTGTGTGATTTGCCTTTCCCTGGGATGCGAGGAAATGTGCTCAGAAATGCCCTCAAGAGTGCAAGAGCTAGCGTTATTTTAACCGTTACGAAATAATAACACTTTTAACGAAAAATATACTGTATATGCCCTTAAACCCCTTAACTGTAAGATATATATATTTTTATAACTGATATTGTGACAAAAGTCCATCTGTTTAATATGATTTGATGCCTCGGTTTTTGAGCCTACATTACGTTAATCATTGATGACAATTACTGGAGATAAAAATGAACATCAAAAAGCTTAACATCTAGAATCATAACTCACAAAGCAGTGCACCAGCAACAGCTTCATTACCATCTATTCTATTTATTTTATTTCTATGTGTTACTGTTAATTACAATATCCTTTGTGTTAATTGTTGAAGCTAAATGAAAATCACCAACATTAAACTTTATTGTTATTGGTAGCCACACTGAGACAGTATTTGCACTACGAGTGGGAACACAGCAAAGCTATTGTTTAATCAATTCAAATGATTTCTCGAGTTGTTCGGGGGCATATAATATTATTTCCTGGACATTATTTTCAAGCAAATTACAGACGCTAAATATCTGTTTCACCCCTGTTATAGATTCTGTGATTGCTTGCAGAGATGGTGCTGATAGATGTAACATTTAACCAAAGATCTGCATAATAAAGACTCGGCCTGCTGTTTGGAAAGATGCCAGTCGGTTCTGTCACCAAAGTCACTGAAGCAGCTTTTTCCTCCATTAATAGATTCTCATTTTTCAGGGACCTTTATGGTAATCATGTCCCCTGGCAATATTTTATGCAATGTGAACACTAAATTCTATGCAGAGGAAAGTCAGGGGTGGGCATAGTGCAGATTTTAGCCTGGCCTCCCCCCACTGCTAGCTGAAATGAACTTAACAAAGAAAGCAGAACAGTAGGTGGAGTGGAGCCAAGTCTTTCTTCTGTGCCCTTCTTTTACTTGCTTCGCTATTTAATCTCCCCAGTGAAACAACAAAATCAGCAAACATGGCAGAGAATGTATTCTTTTAGGCATAATCTGCAGCATGCCCACCAAGCATTTAGTTCTGTTCAGTGTTCACACTGTTGCACAAAGCGTTGAGTGCCAATGTGCTTAGTTGACTGCGGTTTTCTGGGAATGGTTTTGTTTTAGTTTCCTGCCTCCTCTGTTGGAGGAAAATTATCTCTGTGGAGTTTAAAGACAAAAACCAACAAAACTGGTTTGTTCCTCTCTGGCTTCATACTATCAATAAAAACGTTTTTGGTTTTTTTTGTCCAGTACAATCCTTGTAAAATCAGTGTCGCCATCACTGCAAGCAACATTTGGTCTCATATATATTCAATAATCCAAATATTACCAGCTGGAAATCTCATTCTTATGTACTTCTGTCAGTTTCTTCAATTCAGTTATCTCACTGAAGCAAACCAGCTAATCTGGCTTGTGTCATGTGACTGTGAATATTTTTCATTTGTGTTTTTTGTCCTTTTGACTTGAAAACAATGGTGACTCCCCCCTCTATAAACTACTACTAATATACTCACGTAGATATAGAGTTGACGCTAATGTGACTTTTGATGTGTTCCCCCTTTAGATGCAAAGTAAATCAGAAAGAACCTTTCCCCTTTAACTGCTGTATTTTTAACCATTGTTGTGTTTAAGGATGGATGGAGCCTACTGCATGTTGACTAAATTGCAATCAAGAGCCTGATAGTAAATAACAAGTGTCATAAGAATATGTTTTTGTTTGATTTGTAGTGACATATTTCTTTGCTTATCTGGGCAAAAGGCGCTCTTGAAATGGTTTGTAAGGAAGAAGATGTAGATAACTTAGACTATCAGCTGCTGTGGAAAAACAAAAACACGACCGAAGATATAATTTATAACAAACCATTCCAACACGTAACCTTTCCCAGGTCTGATTTATGTTTCAGTGTCAAAGTGACTGTTTCAGAGCCTCACATGCAATCCATCTCCCATAGTGATTTATAATAGAGTAGGGAATTCTCTGTGTACTTATTTCATTAACTACTTAGATAAAGTTTGCCTCAGTGCATTTTTGTATAAGGAACAAAGGTCATGAAGCTTTGCAGGAAAGGACCAGAATGTTATTTGTATTGTGAGGGATTTATTTCTCTCATGGCAAACTATGAGGTGCTCTTAAATCTTTCAAGAGAAACGCTAATATATATATATTAAGCTTATTTTACATAATTTTCCAACCATCCTGCATCAGTTTAAGCTTTTTCTGTCAATGAGAAAACCACAAAAAGTAAATTTTATTTTCAAGTTGTCCTGTTGTAGAAAAGCCTCTGCCCTGTCTTTTATTTTAGGTTGATCATCTATTTATATGATGATTTTATGTGTTTTTTTGTTTTTATTTTTCCATTTCCATTTATTAAAAAAGTTAAAAAGTCTATTGCTCGGGACAGACAATACATTACACATATTAGTGTAATTACAGGCTTGGTAATATTACTCTTAATTGAACGTTTTTTTCGGGAAACATCATTTGAAGTTGAGCATCGGTCTTGTCATGGAAACAGCATGCCTGAAATTACAAAGACAGAAAAGCTCTAATTATTTTCTTGATATCATGCATAACTTGATGTGGTTCCCTCCAGCATCAAGTAAGAGCCACTAGTTTGTTTTCCTCATTGCAATTATCTTTGGAGGAGAGGCAGATGTTAAATTGGCATTTTGTTTGTACTTCATCATGTATAATTTCATCTCTTCAATCTACTGTATAACATCAGGTTTGAAAAGAAACATCCCCTCTATGATTCAAACTTATAACTCAGTCTCAGTCACTGGAATACACTGGATCACTGTTTGTTTCTCCTGAGAGGAAACCTGTTCCCCTTATTCATTTCACTACTATTTATTGTCCAATTAATCTGCAAGAAATTACAGTTAATAACGACAAAAAGTATCAAAAAGTAAAATGCTTTATTTCATTGGTTTGTTTTACAAGTGACCTGACTGATATAACCATCATGTTTGGTGGTGGTTGTTATATAAGCCAGATACTGTAACTGCATTGATTTGCCATGGAAATGTAAATGTTGACAAAATGTGATCTTGACTGTTTGAAAAGCTCATATATGCTGAAACTAAGAATTTATTGTTGGATAACCTTGGATATTACTGTCAAATTTAGCTCTAGTTTGACTTAAACATGTACTATATAGTTCCTTTTTTAATACATTTTCTACATATTAATAAAACATTCAAATAGTCTGATTTGGTGTATTTTGTTTCTCTTTTTGTTATGTGTGGTGATTATGTGATGTTACTTGAGAAGTTTATGGCGAACCGGTCACATCCATGTACAACATCTTTGCATAAACAAAGCCTTCATTCAATTTGCTTTCAATTTTTGAGTCAAGTTTTATATAAATGTCGAGCTGTGATTACTCTCCCTTTTTACTCCTCTAAAATAATGAAGTATCAAGAGCCGACTGACTCCATGTCATAAACTTTTCAAAGTATATTCACTTCTAATTGGCCATTAAAAACCGAAGTGTGGCCAGCAGCAGTTAAGAGTGAACAGTAAAAGGTGCCGTCATAAAGGTCTGCCAGAGCAACTTGGCTCTGAGATCTCTAATTTGTGCTCACATGCGGAGACACCGCAGACCTGCACTGACATGAAAACACATCTGATGACTTGTAGTACAACATATTGGCTAAACATTCATTCCACATAAAAAAAATTAATCACCTTCAAAGAGGTTGTTAGAGAGAATGATCTGTTGGCAAGAAACCCATTTAAAGTCAATTAGACCGAAATTCAGAAAAAGCGGATTTCTAATTTACGAATAATGTTTTGAATGTCTCCAATTTATAGAAACAGTTCAACTTTTTGGGAAATATACAGCTATTTTACTGAGAGAGATCAGTACCGCTCATAAAAGTCTGTCAAATATTAAGCCACCACCAGCAGCCGGTTAGCGTAGCCCAGCATAATAGAAGAAGCAGGGAGCTACAGCTCTGTGCAAAGGTTAGAAAATCCACCCACCTTAGGCCCACTAACATGATTTCTCTCGCGTTCAGTCCAATGCAAAAATCATATTTTATGCGGGATGATGTGCCAAACTACTTCTTAAGTCTTGTTACTGTGAGGTTTCCAGGTAACCAGTGGGGACTGCAGGAGGTTGCTTCACCTGGCTGCAAGATAACATGCATTTGTGAGTCTGGACAGAGCTAGGTTAGCTGTTTCCACTCTTTCTTCTCAGCCAACTAGGAGCTGGCAGTAGCTTTATATTTACCATACAGACGTGAGAGTGCTGATCTTCTCATCTAACTCTTGCCAAGAAAGCAAATAAGTAGGTTATATTTTCCCAAAATGTCTAACTATTGCTTCAAGTCCATATACTTGATTGATTAATCCAGTAAACATATACATCCACAATAGAAGTAAATAAAAGTTAGTAAAAGTAAAATACATAGTGTTATCAGTTTGCTTAACAATAAACAATTAAACAGCTATGATAAAGCGGTACCTTTAGATAATGCTCCAACAAGGGCATTTGAGAAGTAGATAAAAGATGAATATTATTACATTATTATTGTGGTTCCTATAGTCTCTAAAAGTAGAACAGGAGCCAGAGCCTTCAGTTACCAAGCTCCTCTCCTGTGGAACCAGCTTCCAGTTGTGGTTCGGGAGGCAGACACCCTCTCCACATTCAAGAGTAGGCTTAAGACATTCCTCTTTGATAAAGCTTATAGTTAGGGCTGGATCAGGTGAGTCCTGAACCATCCCTTAGTTATGCTGCTATAGGCCTAGACTATCGGGGGATTTCCCATGGTGCACTGAGATCCTCTCTTCCTCTCTCTTCCTGCACTCATTCATGTCCCATTAATGCATGTTACTAACTTCACTTCTTCCCCGGAGTTCTTGTGCTTTCTCGTATCGCAGGTTCTTATCGATCCTGGTGGATCCTCCTGCCATGGTCTTGCTAGATTGCCATTACCAATACTGTTGTTACTGTGCACCTGTCTGTCTGTTTGTCTCTCTCTCTGTCTCTCTCTCTCTCTCTCTCTCTCTCTCTCTCTCTCTCTCTCTCACCCCAACTGGTCGAGACAGACAACCACCCACCTAGAGCCGAAGGATCTGTCCGAGGTTTCTGCCTTTTAACAGGCATTTTTTCCTTGCCCTTGTCACCAAGTGCTTGCTCATGGTGGTACTGTTGGGTCTCTGTAAATAATGTTATAAAGAGTTCAGTCTAGACCTGCTCTATTTGAAAAGTGTCTTGAGATAACTTCTGTTATGAATTGGCGCTATACAAATAAAGCTGAATTGAATTGAATTGAATTATAGAATAATTCTCATCTCCTTAGCTAAAAAAACTGACTACTAATTAAGGCTTGTTAGTTTTCTGAATAGTCTGACGTTAATGAAAATAGCATTGAAGGTTATACTGAACTACAAACAGCTAGTTTGAGCACCTTGCAGAAAAATATGCAGTTACACACACATGCAATATAGCAGCTACAGATTTTATCGCAATAACACAAACCCACAAACCCCCAATTCAGCAATTTTAAAATTCATTGTTTAATTACTGCATGTTCTAATTATCCATTAATTATCTGTTCAATTGTCTGGTCAGCAGAAACAACTTGGTAAATAATGAGCCTGCATGAAGTTTGTGAATATATTAGAGTCAGACAAATAAATGAGCAACACCGGATTAACAGTGTGGTAAAGGTCAGAGAGATAAGCTCATGTTCAGTCTTTATCAAAACAAAATTAACTGCTGTGTCAAGAAAACAATTCTCACTGTTAGACAAGGTTCTCTTCCTGTTTACACTATTTATACTTGAACTATGGATTCCTGGGTTTGAGTGAAGCTTTTATTGAATAGAAAAGTACTGCTTCAGTATCTTACAGCAGTTTGTCCCCGATTTACCAGAATTATCAACAGAGGGTGATTTTTTTCCTAATTTCCTGCAATTTTATATAACTTTTTAATAATTTACTCAATGTTCTGCTCACTACAAGTGCATGGTGTCTTTTAACCTATGTAAGAGCTCCGTGGGGAGCAGTGGTTTGAATTAAAAACTGGTCAAATTGATCAGGATGTGTTGCACAATTGAAGTCTGATTAATTAAACAGACTACAAACCCTGCTGTGTTGACGCCACTGCCACAGTCTGCTGGGTTCATACGGTGCATCAAAGGCTGTCTTTGTAGTTCTTACATGAAAGATATCTCACACTTTCGTCTGTGGATAAAAAAGCTCAACTTTTTCCATGGTAGATACGGTAAGATTATTGTCTTTTATTGCAACCAGCAGATGGGGTAACTGAACTTGCTATAACCTGAGCTCCAACTCTAAGTTTTTAATGTTGATCCAGAAATCTTAGTGTTTCATTTGTGACCCAGAACAGCTGACGGTATCTACATCACAACAGTTTAGGTTATTTCTGTTCAGTTTCTGTTGTGACAGCATGCAACCTGCTGTAGTAATATTCCACTGTACAGCTGCCAGTAGTCAGATCTCAGACAGCTGAAAGGACACAATTTCAAAACAAAACCACAGACCACACAGTCAGCTTAACCTGGTTCTCCTCTCATCTCGAAACAAATTAGGAGAAGTTGGTTTTCATTAATGACATCATATTAGAATCATAATATGACTGTATTATTGACTATTACAGGGTTACTCTAGCAGTTATTAATGATCAGATCAAAGTTTGCTGTGTAGCACCCCACCACCCTGTGCTATATAAGCGCTCAGACCTTTTGGTTTGGGGTTATAATGGGATTGGCATTTTTACTGTGGTATCAAATCGGTATCAAGAATTGAATTTCACTGGTACTGATAGTGGTAGTGGTAGTGACATCCCTAGACTGAGGTTCATATCAAAAATATGAGCTGTACAGACACTGCGCTGATGTGTTTGCCTGCAGGGCTTTAAAATCAGATTGCCTTACAGTACTTGTACAGCCGCAGTAATGAAGTCACTTAAATATTGTACAGTAAGATGTACAACAACTGTTGTCTAAAAGCAAGTAAATTATACATTTCAGTTTAATAATGCAAACATTAGAAAGAAAAAGGGCTGTTGGCTGAGTCTGGCACAGTTTTGTTTGTTAGGTAAAGAGCCGGACTGTTGCAGCCTGTGTCTGGACTCCAGAGCAAGCTGGAGCTCCGGCTACTATACTATGATGTCCATCCCATCAGAGTCCCAAACATAAGATGATCTGTTGACTCAAGTAAGTCAGCTCTGTAACTCTGCTAAATCCCAGTGTCTCTTTTCAGTGCTTCAAGGATTTTTTTTTGGTGCATTCGAGTTAAGTCCACCGGGGCTTATAGTGGTTTCTCTGCAGAATCGCCTCAGCAAAAGTCCTCAAGGGCTCTGATGCGAACTTTCAGGAATAATTTCAGTGAGTCTGCAAAGCTGCAAAATGTACACACTGAATATTCCCTAATTGCAGCATTTCTCTATGAGCAAATTAGGCACAAAAAGTTATTCTATTTTTTTATTGTGACTTAAGTACATCCAAAACTATAAACTCCTGAACAATAATTAGTCTATCTATTTCCACTTTAAGGCTCAAGCCATCCAGACAAGTACAAAGGCTAAATAAAACATTCAAATCAAGACATATAATAATAATTATAATATAAATTAATTATTCATGTTTCCCACCTGCTTACATGGTAATGAAAAGCTCAAGAATGCTGCACAAATGTCAGAAAATTAGATTTGTGTACAGCAAAACACAGTTGAACAGTATAAATGTTGAATACTGCATGGTCAAGGGAATAAGGAGGCATCAGTTTCTCTTTGTGAGACATCCTCTTCTGCCACTCTCCCCTCTCTCTAATCCTCTACCCTTTCTCCTCCTCTCCTCGCCCCATCCATCCAGTAATGCCTCCACCCTCTCTCTGCAGGTTTGAGCACAGAGCTGGTGACAGGATGAAGCTGATGAAAAGCGGCGTTGTGAGGTATCCCCAGTCTCCCATGCGCTCGTACAGTCTCTTTACATCTCACTGAACCCGGAAAGTTAACAGGCCCTGGCAGGCATCTGAATAAGAGGGAGGTGCAACCCAGATCTCCCAGTTAGAGCCTCTCTGTGATAGCGTTGTAAACACCAGGGCTTAATTGGGATACTGGCCGGTGAACAGCTTGATTTTCATCAGCCGTTTATTGATGCTCAAAGCTCCATGAGTTGGAGTGGGGGAGCCTGCACAGGGCCTTATAAATCACAGAGGCATCGAGATTTGACTGTTC